CGATCAACATGAAACTTTCAGAATCTTATTTTTTCTCCAAAAAATGAACCCTCAGAAAGTTTAAAGCCAATAAAAATCGGTTTACGGGTACCTCTCATACAAAATTGTTGAAGTTTTTGTTAAAGTGACCGATTTTTCACTTTATTTTTATTATTATATTTTCACTGCCTTTATTTCAAGAAAATTCACAAAAAATAACCAAAAGTACCTACGGACAACGAAGGCCAACGGTACGGAAAAGTTCGGGATTACCAATGTAATTCTTTTTATTTTATTCAAAAAATGAAACCTCAGAAAGTTTTGAGCTAATCGGAATCGATTTACGGGTACCTTCTATACAAAATTGTCGAAGTTTTAACTGAAGTGACTGACTTTTCACTAAAAAACTGCCTTTATTCGAGAAAATTCACAATAAATAACCAAAAATGCGGACAACGGTACGAAAAAGTTCGGGAATACGAATGTAATTCTTTTTATTTACTCTAGTGTTAATTACGAGATGATTTTCTTTTTGATATGAAATGCTAAGAAAAATGAAAAATTTTGCCACCAATTTTTCTATTCAACATTTTAATTATTTTATCCAACATTCTATATGATATAGAATTCAAAGTCAATAAAATTCATCATTCAGCTTACCCATATTGTGTTAGCGTCAAAGGAACATCAATTGAGTTCGATGCACGACGTCGGTCATTTGCCATGTCTGCTAATTTAGCAAAATCTGTATCAGAGTCGGCCAAGCGAGCAGAACGTCTTGATTCCAACAAACGAACTTCTTCTAGCTTCTTTTTCAATTCAATTGGTTGCTGTAATTAGAAATAAAAAAACACATGAATTAGTTTTGAAAATATATGGTTAACCATATTTAAAATGTTTCTGTTCAATTTTTACGATGGTCGATATGGGTAAAAGGTAAGTTGTTCCAAAAATGTACGGCTTTTTCTCATCAAGCAAGCTAATTGGTTTTTCATTTCTACAAACGTATTTGTATACCACTATCGTTGTATGTAAATATAATACGAATTGCTCAATTAAATCATTTCTATAACATTTATTTAGCTACTTTTTCTGATGATTTTTAATATAATAATGTAACGATATGTATTGACGATTAAATGATTAATATTGACGTGCCTTTTATTCTCAACGAGTCAATTGACTGAACACGCATACTTATTTATACGTTATTTATTTGTCACGCGCATACTTCAAAACATCTGTACCTTTGAGAATAAGAGGAAAATATTAGCAAGGTGTGGAGAAACTATCGTATTCAGGAATGAAGCATGTTGTTTTTGCAATGACGTCTTAAAAATCGAAGTACAACAGTATGAACACGAGCAGTCTCTCTATAGATAATATAAAAGTCGGCTCAATAAACGGAACTCTTTATTGGAAACTCAAATAAATCGTAATATATTACTTGAATTTTTGATTACGGAAACAGATCAATGTATAACAAAAATAATAAATTCAAATGGCTGCGAAAATCAAAAAAAAATTGTTAATATTAGAAAAATAGTATTATTGAACGACTCTGGAAATCACCGGAATCATTTCCAAAAATATGTCCAGAATTGGAGTTCCGAAAATATTTTATGTAAAAATGGGATGTGTTTGTATAAATCTTGAATGTTTCTTCTGGCGGTTCGAAAAAATATTTCGAATCAACTCTATCAATTTTTCTGAAGTTTGTACCAAATGATATACTGATCACATAAATCGAACGTTCGGAATCAATCCCAACTTTTTGTCAATGGTTTTGACTACTGAATTCTATTTTGAAATGGAAGTGTCGGACAAAGATTACATTTTCCTATCCAGAACGCCCAAGAAACACTTAAATTGAACGTTTGGAATGTTATTTGTTACAAGTATTATAAAATTTCTGAGTAGTGTTCCGGTCTATCAGGGCAATTTTTATTATTATTGATGATTCAAAAATTGATACTCCTATACACAAGGTGGTTTTAGGTTTGCATTTTGTTTTGGATAAATATTTAAAAAAAATATTTTTCCATTCATTACAAAGGCATTTATTTTGTGCCGAAACTGTATACGTTGAACAAAAAAGTCATAAATACTAGAAAACCCATAGATTTTTCAATATTGAAATAAAAATTAGCAAACAAAAATTACGCATATTAATGATTGTGCGCTATTTAAATGCGTATATTTTCATGGCCGGGTATTGTATATGATTTGTGATAATGTTTGTCAGATACCATGGAACACGCGGTAAATCTACTAACAACTTTGTTTATTAAAATTGTTGGTGATTTTGTTGTTGTTGTTGTTGTTGTTGCTGCTTGGCATATTTGGCCAGATTCGTAAACAGAAAGTATCATACACGTGCCAACCAACACATATTTGTGACGCAATACGAAACAAGTAAACGTAGCTGAACGGAATCTGTGTATATATATGTTTGTTTAGTACTTCTTATGACGTCGTAATAAAATTTCCCTGGGTTTGGCACGTCGAATAGATTCCCGTATCGTATTGACGTTTAAAGTTCATCTAAATAGTATTTTTAATATTGAACGAGTGGCTATTCTTTTATAATATAACTTTTTTTTGTTTCGAAGAATAGATTCAGTGGTCGAAAAAAAACTTTTGAGATTGGGTATTCGGCATTTGAACCACTACGTTTGCAGAAAAAACACACATAGTACTATGTAGTACTATGAAAAACAAATTCCTATATATTTGAAAATTTGAATAAATTTCATAATATACTATACTAGTATCTATACTTCATATATATACGTGTACTCACAGTTTTGATATTTTTATGAAATCTATATTTAATTAGGTCAAATCATCATCATCTTTATTATTTCAAAGTAGTTTAAGTTTTAAACTTAAGAAAGTATTTATTTTTCATGCGATAATCAATTTAATGAGTTACAATATTTTCATTGAAGAAACAATTAGGAACTCAATTAGCGGAGAAAAATTTATTTTGATAAATATTTAAAAAAAATTCACTTGAATTTTGGCGAAAAAAATCATTTAGTCGTTTAGACTCACTCATATAAAAATGTATAACTTGAATTATGTCATCACTGAAACAGGAATATTGCAAGGTTGCAAGGTTTCAAATAAAATTTATTTATTGCTGCGGTTTGTTTTGGTATTTAGACCGGTACGTAAGCAATGAAACGCATTCGTATACTAACAAAGATGCCAAATGACTGAAAAAGTTATATTAGGTAAATGGTTATGCGCGCAATTCAGACAGCGTACGAAAGTGATAGCATTAGTGGGAAACGGGACAGATTGAATTCAACAAAGAAAAAACGAAATCTCCATTTTTCTCTACTACTCATACAAATCTTTTGTTCGCACACAATATTTTCCCGTTCTCACATATACATAGGATAGAATATACACTGTGATATACACATGCGTATGTGTATGTCTATCCACAGCACAGTCGTCATTGTATCGAAAACGGTACGTACGAAAGAGACAAAAGTAGATTCCAAAATAGCAACTTATTGCGCGCGCTCTGAGTTGTATAGTACAGAGTAGCACATATGAGTCAACACATTCATTGTGAAAACATAGAGCAACTAATACCAATTTAAATAACCATTTTTGTTAATTGAAGGCTTACTCTTTTAAACTTATTTATGTCCTACTGTATATTCGATTCATGATATTCGCCGTTCGACATTGACTAAAAAATATACGTATGAACCAAAAATGCTTCCAATGTTTTTTATTTGATTTATTGTAGTACATTTTTTAGACCTGGAATTAAAATAGGTATTTCGGTAAGCTTTTACAGATAAACGCTTTTGGTGAAAGTAAAGCTATTCATATCATAACTGTTTGGGGCGAGCCATAGTGAATTAATTATTTTTACAATATTGGAAATGTTACGTTCATGTAGATATGTCTGAAATGAGTCGGTATAAAAAACCATGGGGCAGTGAACAGAAGAATGATATCTGGAACTAAAGTTTCTAAATGTATTTTAGACACTCGTAGTGGTAAAGTATTTATTCAATTATACAAAAATACTTGAACATTTTACTTTTTCAATGAAATGGCCCCATAAGAAAATTATACCAAAAATTTTCCAAATTAAGATCTCAATTTTTATTCCATTTCGTATTTTTTGCACCCATAGAAAGGTCAACTATCATAATTTGACCGAATATATATCAAAGTCCAAAATCCCGATATATTATTACATTTTTATTCGCCCTAGCAAAATTGAATGGTAAGAAATTTTCAACCATTCCATCAATTTAAAAAGAAAGAATTGTTTATTATTGGCTGATTCATCGGCCACTTGGCGACCCTAGTTATTTTAATTGTATCTCAAAATTCGGCTCGAATGAAATAAAATTAACAGATAAATGTGAAATTCAACGCAAACTTAATTTTGGAAAAATGAAAATTGGTAAAAAAAATTGTGTGCGAAAATTAGGGTGGCCCAAACTGATTTATCATAGTAACGTCTATGCTCTCAATGGCTTAAAATTAATTTGGGGTCATAATTAGCTGAATCCCATTTATAGATTGAAAAATTGTTGAAATTCACGCTATTTCCGTACGTAAAATAACCATTTTTGACCTGTTTTATATTTATCCTTTATAACAGCAAGCGAGTGGCGCAAGTACATAAAGTGGAAAGTCAACTTACCTATACATGACATTTTCAACGTGTCAATTTAAAAATCCTGTGCTAAAATCATAAACATTTTAAAATCCCACTAATGTATGTGAATACATATGACACCCATTGAACAATAAAACAACTTATGAGCTCTTTATCCATAAATGAAACGGAAAACACTTAGAGCAAAAAACAGACAAATAATGTTGCGAGCAAAAGTGACACAACTCAGCATTGAGCGGTAAAGATGTTTCTTGCATTTTTCTCGCTACTGAAAAGAGATAGCGACTAGCTGTCTTCGAATTATTTGTAGTTCTTTTTATTTTCTACAATAATGCCGAAGAAACCTATCTATTTCCAATAATGAGCTATTGTTAATGTCTCATACTGTATCTTTTTCATTCGAATAACCTATTGCCGTACACACACCAGCTAACTTTTACGCTATGCCTGTGTGTTCGAATGAATATACAGTGCGCATTTCTTCACTGTTATGTATTATGTCTTGTTACGCCTTTCATTTGCAGCAACAGCACTCAAGATTCTTCTCCAATGTATTGTAATTATTCGACAACTGAAACGATATTTGTCATAAGAAGACCTACTAGGAGATAATTGCCTGGACCTATGAAATCCACGCTGACGACAAAATTCGACCTGCCTCTAGTGGTCATGCATGGAACATACGTTGAGCGGTCAATATATACACGCTAGCGTTAAACTTTCACGTTCTGGGCGAGTGGCTACTAAATTATCGGGCGTGCATTCATTCAAAATTTTGTGTGTTTGAAATTTTTAACTATCACCACAAGGATCCTATCAGTAGAGCTCGTCTTAGGTTTGAAATAATACAATGGAAATATAATGGAAATATTTGTTATTGTTGTTGTCGCATACCTGTGAGATTTCCCTATTTTTGTCATAATTCCCGACTATTTTTTCTTTTCAAATCCCGATTTATTTGGATTAATTTTTGAGCTGAATTTCACCTAATTTTCAACCAGTTTTCTCGATTGTTTTAATTCTCCGATTTTCTTCCCATTTTTCCGCTTCATTTTCGCAAAATTCTGGATTTTAACCAAAGTGGAAATGGGCTAACCATACACGTGACATCCAGAAACTTGCACGCAGCGTCCGTGTACTTCGTAGTGGAAAAAAGTGAAGCTTGCTTGTCACCAATATTGATGTTCACGAACATCAAATCGTTTATGCGTTATTTCGCCCAATTTATGCACTGAACATATAAAGTTCTTTAATTTCTAGCAAAGAACGACGAACTTGGTTGAATTCTTGACAACTTTGACATTTTGATGTACACACACATATAAATACGTATGGTGGATTGGAAAACGTCAGCAATGAACTATACTAACACTTGGTGTAGCAAGTTCATCGAATGTGTGAACGGGTGACAATATTCGATGACTTCAAAATCATATGAAAAACCACACAAGTGTTGACAGTGCAAACTCACGATTTTTTCAAAATATTTCTTTGGAAAACAAATCGTGGATGAAGCCTAGGCTTTGCAGAGCCCGAATATCAACAATAAAAGAAAATAAATGAATATAATTCCCAAACAAATAATGTATATAAAATGTATGGCGTTTCCAATCTCACCACTGTTCACCACAATCAGTCAAAGCATTAATGTGAATGACGCATGACAAAGTGACTTTGACAGCACACGCATATGAATTGATGTCATGTTTACAGTCGGAAACGTCAATGCAAAATCTCCAGTATCCAGTTTCAGTCTACTTTCACATATGAATTCATAAACACATCGAGAAAACACAACCTTTTTTCACATAAAAAGCAAAAGCAAGATGATTTTTTCTTTGATAGTTGTTCGATCCTGGATCACTTGCGATTCATCGATGATTTGCAACGCATCTTTTTTTTATCGAAAGTCCAACTGAATACGATGTTTTGTATTGATTAAATAATTCTATTTTGATCACAAAATATTTTTTTATTATTTTCTTGAGATGGCAATTGAGCGTGCTTTGATGATAAACAACACAAACGATAGCACAAACATTAATGTCTAAATAAATTAAGAAACAACCAAATGCATTTAATCCTGGATCCAATTGTTTGTCGCCTATAACAAATCATACTACATTCAAAGCTGATTTTCGAACATTTTTTTTCTCAATCTATACCTTAAAATCACCGTAGAGATTTTATTTTAAATAAAATCGCATTGCACAAATGCACGAAATTCTCGAAGAATGGCCGTAATAAGTGTTCTTTTTCAATTCAAACTCAATCAATTTCAAGAGATTATGAATAGAAAGAAAATAATCATCTCCGGCGTGA